GCTGTTTTGTTAAAAATTACACATCTGTTGCACAATGAGACGCCCTCTTTGGGCGTCACATGTGACCCCCAGTGAGGCGTCTCTCTCCTAGAGAAGACGCCCCAGTAGGGCGTCACATGTGACGCCCAAAGAGGGCGTCTCATGTGCAACCTATATATACCTCACTTTCCTTTTTTCACTCCTTACTCATTTACCTCTCCAACCTCTCTCTAACCGCGGTTCGTAGCGAAGCTCTGCCAACGTAGGTAAGGTCATAATACCTCATATGTATACATTTAAATTACAGTGGTAGTTAGTAATACATGTTAGGATTGATTGTATATTAGAGACTTGGAACATTAGGATAGTCACTTAGAAATTTTGTGTCATGCTATGAATGTTGTAATGATATAGTAATATTATTATTACGTAGTTATTATTATTACTTATTTTTAATTATGTATTAGGGTTTAGCATATTAATTAGTGATTTATAAATAGTGTTAGAGACTTTGTAAATTTCGTATGTATGATGTTATTAATGCGGGAGTGCATAACTTTGTAGTTAGTTAAGGATAATGGCTGAGTCATCATCTTCTTCGGGATCTGATTCGGATGTAGAGCCCACCGATCCCAGCATGTGGATCATACCTGGACCCTACAGGTGGGAGGTCCTTCGTCAGAGGACGCAGAAAGGTCATATTTCACAGCGTGTGTGGAATACTGAGCATGTAAGAAAGATTAAAACGAGGCGTGGGAAGCCACAAGGGGGCCCACCTACCGGTGCTATTCCACAGGTTGTGGAAGAGTACCTCAGACAGGCGGGTTTCATACATGTTGCCAGGATGCAACATATCCAGGTATGTTATTTATGTCGTTTTGTATTTATGTAATTAAATAATGTAATTCGTTAACACGTGATAACTGCGTAATTTATCACAGATAGATACATTTTTAATTAGTGCTCTGGTCGAGAGGTGGAGACCAGAGACACATACCTTTCACATGATCCAAGGTGAGATGACGATCACCTTACAAGATGTGGCAGGCATCTTGGGCTTGCCGACCGACGGTACTGTCGTCATCGGATCGACCTCTGAGGATTGGCACGCTGCTTGTGCTGGTGTTTTTGGACATGTTCCAGAGGCCGGTGAGTTCCATCATTCTGGCGACCTCTGCATCTCATTCTTGGATCGACATTATACCCGGTGGACTGATCATGAAGGGAATCATGCTGCCGAGATCTACTTCACAAAAGCTCACATTGCGCGGATGTTGGGGACTTGGTTGCTGGCGGACAAGTCTGGAGGTAGCAATTTTGGTTGTCGGCTTGTCCCGTTGCTAGGTGGAGGATTTGAGGACATTGGCCGATTCAGCTGGGGATCTGCAGTTTTGACACACTTGTTTGTGTGAAGTGACAGATGCCCGTCGAAGCGACATGGGTGGTTGCCATATTCTCCTTCAAATTTGGGCATGGATACGATTCCCACCCATTGCTCCACCCCTTCCTCCTCATCCACAGCCGGGCACACATTATGGATGCCGGTATGATTTATTTACTTCATTTGATTTCAATAATGTATGGTTAATACTGTATGTACTAACTGTATACTTCTTGACTTTGGACGATTATGTATGGTTGATAATGTTTTTGATTGACGGGTTTAATGCTGTACAAAAGTTTAAACCTTATGAGGTCACCCATTATCGGGCAACATTGGACACACTCTGTAGAGATGAGGTTTGGTGTTAGATACTTACGGTGTTGTTATTTGTCTATGGGTTTATTTTTTTTTGTAACTCTATATATTGTTTCACATTTTGTTTGTAGGTGGTGTGGCAGCCGTATATAGAATATGAGTGGCTTGACGTGACTCCAGAGCAGCAGTATCTGTGGCTAGCTCCCACACCTATTATCTACTTCCACACAGTTGAGGCATGTCAACCGGATAGGTGCATGCGACAGTCTGGTCTTAATCAACCCATCCCGGAAAAATCTAGAAAATTGAGAGGAATACATGATCATACTCTACGGGGGAAGGTTGAAGAGAACTGGAGACGTAAGCTCAGGGCTCACATTGATCGATGGAATACTAGGATTCAGCATATTGTACTGCCACCTCCATTATATGGTTTGATGTCACCTAATCATGAGTACATGGAGTGGTTCAGAGAGAGGGGAAAGCGCTACATATCACGGAGGGCAGCAAAGATAGGGCGCATGGTGAGTTTTGTACTTATTTTACATTTGTTTCAAATTACAACTAACATTTTTTCGTAATATGCAGATTGACGGTCTTGAAATGCTGTATCATGCAACAACGGCGGAGGAGTTTCCTCGATTTGGACTACAGTATATCCACGAGGAGATAGGCCGAATTATTGGGATGTTTCGTGAGAGTTCACGAGTTGATGAGCCTGGACCTGAGGCACCCCCCGTGCAGACTCAGCCTGATCCTCAGTTGATCGTGGATGTTCCTCGTAATAGACGGGAGGGACGGGGATTAGGACGTACACGTGAGAGAGTTGCTGCTGAGCCTGTCCCGATTATAGCACCTAGACCAGTGGTCGAGACTCAGGGATGGTTTAGACCTCCAGCATTTGGTCCTACTTACGGGTCACAGCCGATTTATCATCACGGATCGCAGTATGCGGCAGGTCCTAGTCAGGCGGCGTCTGAGCACCCTTACATGAGCGGGCAGGAGCCAGTTTTCCAGGCTAGTCCGATGGCTATGGCAGGAGCGGATCCGGCATCCTCACAGCCTGATTTCCAGCCCTATTCACAGGGACTTGATGCCGATTACCCCTTTTGGTCTGCAGAGGACACGATGGAGTTGTATCGCTCTGTAGGCCTTGTTGCAGAGAGCCATGACAGTGGGGAGACTCTAGCCACGGATTCTCACAGTCAGGGACACACCCCTTTTGATGTGCAGGACCATCAGATGATTTCATCCGTGCGGCGATGGATGACTTCCACACTCCACCTCCACAGGACCATCAGGGTGACCCAGTCTGGGACAGACGTATACTACCAGATAGGGATGCACGACATAGGCCATGGCCACCGTGGTCCTAGTTTCATTGACATTTTGTTTATTCATTATGTTGTGGACTGTTTCATATTGTTATTATTTTGTTCTTTTGTATATGTCATATGAGTGTAGCATGTTGTTATATTGTGGACGCTACATTATTATATTATTTGGACTATTCACTATGTTTTGGTTATCGTTCTTTGCGGATTTATATTACGGTAACTAACAGCATCAGCTAATTAATAATTCAAGCTTAAAAACATACATAAACGGAAAGTAAAAAGTCCAACATAACGGACATTACAATTCATGAAATAACATAACCAACAGCAACAATATGAACATAATATGCAAATCATTCGTTTCTCCCACGACTTGGACATCGCCGACGATTATGGCCGCGTTCCTTGCAAAGTCCACACCTGATACGGCTCTGGCTTGTCTCAACTTCATCCATCTCGTTGCGGATGCGAGTTGACTTTGGACGAACTTTTGCACGCAACATAGTACAATCAGGAATAATCTTTGCACCACTAATTTCAGGTATTGCTTCCTCGTTTCTGATTGGCTCCCACGGAAAAGAATAAGCCTCGACCAAGTTATTTATCAAGAAGACGTCGTCAACGTAAGTGAACGCACTCTGCCTAACACTTAACGCAGCAGCAACAGCGTGACTACATGGATACTTAAAGGCCTTAAACTTTCCACACTGACAGTATCTCTGTGGGAGGTTGACAGAATATGAACGTTCCCAACCTGCGTAAACCTCGAATACAGTATGTTCAACATTGTATGCACGAACGTGGTGGCTTGTTGCATCTACCTGGTTCTTCTTGACCAATTCAACAACATGTTTGGAGTGACGATGAGCTGATTGAAGTTGTGCAAGAGCATTTGTTCCTCTCTCAACAAAATATGCAACCAATATGCTATATGTATGCTTAACCAATGCTGTTATAGGCATATTTCTGGCCCCCTTCAAAACCCTATTGACAGATTCAGCCAAATTTGTTGTCTATGACCGTACCTCCGTCCTTCAATATCGTAGGCACGCGACCACTTTTCCTTAGGAATCGCATCTATCCACTCAGCAATTTGAGGACTACTTTCATGGAAACTCGCAAGATTCCTTTCAAAATCAACCATTGCTGGAGTATAACCTGCACAAATTGGACATAAACGAATTAAACATAAATTGACAGTCATAATGGAAAGAAATAATTAAGCATTCAGTCAATGAGTATACCTAAATTCTTTAACATCCGCTTCAAATCTTCATTTTGAAACTTTTGATTGAAGATGCTTGCAATATGACGAATACATAATACGTGATACGCATTTGGCGGCTGCCAAGTAGGGTTATTTTCCACAGCAGATATTATGCTTCGATGCCGATCGGATATTAAACATATGTTTGACATCGTAGTCACATGAGCACGAATATTAACGAGAAAATAATCCCATGCTTCCAAAGTTTCGCCTTCTACGATGGCAAATGCGATCGGTAAACATTCATTATTACCATCTTGGGTTGTGGCCACCAACAATTTCCCTTTGTACTTTCCATATAAATGTGTTCCATCAATTTGGATGACGGGTTTGGCAAATTTGAACGCCTCACAACATTGTCTAAATGTCCAAAAAATGCGATGAAAAACCTTTTTTCCAGAAACTAAGCTCTGCTCGGCATAAAGATCATTAGTTTGTATATGATAAAATGAACCTGGAGAAAAGCGAAGCATGTATTCGCACCACCTTGGTAAAAAAGCATACGATTCCTCCCAATCACCGTACAGAATTGCCATCGCTTTTTGCTTCGCATACCACGCCTTTCTGTACGAAACTTGAAAGCCATATTTAGCAGTTATCCTTTCTTGCACCAAAGAGATTGACACAGATGGTTCAGACTTTATCATCCCTACATTGAAGAGGATATCAGTGCCTCAATAACATCGAACAAATTTAATTACACATTTGTGGTCAATCACACATTTAAAATACAAAAAGGTACCTATCACGAGATCTGCAATAACGTTCGCATCAAGCTGTCTATGACCCTGGGAAATGTGCTCATTCACACATTCGTGTTTTCCACCCCATCTCGTTATTTTCCAATTTTCACGAAACACCGGTTTGATCGCCCTTACGCGCCACGGACAACCTTGATCGTACGCACAACATTTCATGGACAACTTTGCAGGCGTGCTCTCAATTACAATGGCTTCTTGATGCTCCCTAATAAGGTTGTGCTTAAGTGCCATTTGGACATCTTTTTTTGTCGCAAATTCTTGATTGACAAATAACATGTCACCCAGTTGCCACGGACCTTGTATTGAAGCCGATCCAGACACCGAACCATCAGTACATGATTCTTGTTCGCTCTGATAACTCCAATCAATGTAAGAATAATGCGGAATTCCTTCCCAAAAAGGAATAACATCTGTGTCACCTGCAATTGCGGGTTATAATTTTTTAATACGAACTTACTACTAATTCAGGCAACATTAAATCAGTTATTTATTCTCGCAGTATACAAATGGGAACAATTACCTTCTTGTGGAATACCAAACGGAGCAGACGCAACGTCATTCAACGGCGGCATTTGCGCGACGACTGGTTGATGGAATATTGGAATTTCAGACGCACCCATCTCACGAGATTCATCTCCTTCTGAAGCACTAGCATCCTCCGCCAGAAGATGTTCTTCCATTGCCATATTTTCATCGTCATCTTCGTCGTGCATTTTCCAAGTCGGATCATTTTCATCTCCCTCAGAAAAGATACCAACTGGAGACGCATGAGCGGCAGGAGAAGCTGGAAGACAGGGAGAATTTAAATAAACTGACCTCACCGGTATGGGAGCATTCTCCGTTGCAACGATGTCGACATACAACTCTAGAAAATCTGTCCTTGACTGGTTGCAAAATTCTTCCATTGTCATCTCCAAGTCTTCATCGTCAAGCACTTTCAAACTAATGTATTTATCACCTTGCCACACCCTTGTCGTGATCTCAGTGATACATTGGTTGTCTTGAAGACTTAACTTCTGCCGAATTCTCTGATACAATTCGCCAATGGTTGTGTTGCGTTGGATACGTGTCGGCCTTTTTTCACCTTCGAATATGACACCTCGTCGACCTTCTACCTTCCTACCATTGTAATATAACACAACACGAACAAAATCAGGATTTGAACTCATTTTTAAATAGAATTACAACTAAAATTCAAATACTAAATTAAAGATAAAGAAATGTTGGTGGAGAAGAGAGATATGAAAAGTGAGAGAAGAGGTGTGAATTGAATAGAGGGGGTGAGGAAACATATAGAGCACACATGTGACGCTAGTTTTGGGCGTCACATGTGACGCCCAAAACTGGCGTCACATTGTGCAGTAGATGTGTAATTTTTTACGAAACAACATTAAATGCGTAATTATTTTATTTAAATACAATATTTTAATTTTTTTGCCTTGGATCAATTCTTAAATTAAAACAAAGCCAAGCAATTCCTATTTTAGTTTAAAACCGATATATTACTCTTAATATTCTGTACACCCTACTGTTATGTCTGCTTATCAATTCCCTCCAACCTCCATCCTCATCATCCCCGCTTCACAAACCACTTTACGATGGTCAAAAAATTAGTGACCATTATTATTATTGCTCGTTAGTCGTTTTAAGTTAATGATTTGGTAAAAAAAAAAAATTTTAATAACAAAAGGTTTAGAGAGAGAGAAGACATTTGCTGACACTGAATTCAACTTTGTTCATGTTATTTATCATAATCAGTATAAACCTCAACTGTCACCTCTATCTAGCTCTGCCATTGCATCGTCGAACATGTACGGTCGAATTGATAGGCCCCTCATCTTTACAAACAATAGGAATCAAAATTTTGAGAGAATCTCTCAACAAAGGATCATATTATCTTATATTTCTAACAGCAACAGGCATCATCATTTGCTTTATGCACGTAATTATTGCTAACCCTACTCATTTTAATTCTACCCCCAAATTTAATACAAAGAAACACTTTCCCAGGGCCATTTGATTTGTAGCTGTAAACCTTGCTCGATGCTCAAGCTCAGTTATCTTGCGAGTAATATATGCTACGTATCAGGTTTATATCATCGAACCAGCGCTGTAATGTCTGTAGCCTTAGTATATCTCTGACGTTGGATAGGTTTGAGGGATTCACTTGCTACCTATACCTACAGGTGAACAGATTCAGTTAACTTTGGGGCAAGTCAGGAACTGCCAAATTCCAATACAAAAACAACGAGTGTCTGCACCCAACATTACAAAAAAAAGGAAGAACCGGAAATAAGGAAATAGAACCCATTCACAACCTCCATGGTTCATATATGAATACATGGCTCTGGCATATTATTTGTCTACTACTTCAGGAATGATGGCTTTGCCCAAATAAACCTGTTGCAACTCCTCTCTCCAAATCTGCAAGGACAGCAATCATACTGGGTGATTCCCCTTCACTTCAACAGATAACATAATCAGGAAAATATTTGTAGGTTTAAAGTAGATTTTAGTTTTTAGTGTACACCACTTTTGGTTTTTGGTCCCTACCATCTAGTAACGATCCTATTTTTTTCACTTGTTTAATTTTTAATCTTTATAGTTTCTATTCATCAAAAGTAAATTGTCCCTATTTTTTAAGAATTGGTCCTTATAGTTTAACTTATTAAAAAATTAGCCCTTGAAAGACTAAAATCTTAATAGTATAACATTATAAAGACCAAAAAAAATAGTTTTGCTAGAACAGATGTTAAGAATTCAGAATTAAAAAGTACTAAACTAGGAGTAGAAGCAGCAGTTGTAGTTTCTTTTTTAAGTAATTAAGATAATTACTAAAGAGTAAATTTTATTTGAGTCCTCAACAATCCCAATTTGTTTATATAGGATATTTCAACCATACATGAAAGGCCATCTAACATAAATTATTAAATTCAGAACCACAAGAAATATTAACAGAACAGAACAAGTCACATTTAGTACAACCATTAATAAACCCATACCGTGTCACGGAATTCCAACCGGATGTGAGGAACGTTGGTTCTGTGAATGTCATTTCCATTTGGCCCTCTATGGTAGTATTCCTTACCAATCCAATGTGACTAAAACAAGAAACTGATCAGTTGAGAACAGGTAAAAAAAAACTTTATGGTGCGTTTGTTTCAGCTTTAAAAAGGTTTTTATGAAGGTAAATTGGAGTTTTCCCTAGAAAAATATATCTAAAACTTTAAATTCCAAAAAAGTCATAGGAGGAAGCAGAAAATAATAGTTTTATCCTCTTTTCATATAAAAAAATGTGTCAAAATTCTCGCAATGAAAAATTCGAAATAATAAATAATAATATAGTACACTAAGATAATCGTAATAAACATTGATATTTCATATTCAGTCATGCTCGTCTATGACAACTCTTAGTGGCTTTTCCTAAAATACATGTCAGGATAAGACTAAAACACAGTATGCTTTGAGAGTAAGAGGATTTCATTCACAGGAGAGTTAGGATAAGAAGTGTACCTTTAAGGCATGTGAGAAACCTGATTGATAAACCGAATTACGGGCAATCTCACATAAATCACATGAGCTCAACTTCCACACCTGTAAACGAAGAATAGTGTCCTAACTGTAAGAATTGTCTGTTTATATGCCAGGCAAAGAGAGACAGAGAGAGAAAGAGAGAGAGATCTCACGGAAGCAGCTATGCTATATTCTTCAACCAATGGTTCCTTTGTCAAGTGAATTTGGAGTGGATCATCAGTAGAAAGTGAAACATTCAAACCCCGTAAGAAGAATGTTGGAAAAGGATTCCGATGGTAGTCTAAGAATAGGGAGTTATTGCTCAAAGGAGACATCGCCAGCCCAATCTGATAACAAATGTTCCACTAGAATTAATTTAACACCACAGACATCAAAACCAAGTAATCAATTGAAAATGGGACCATACCTGGGCCAAATAATATAAATATTGAAGCACGGGAGATTTTTTCAAATTGATTCCATGTGCAATGTTATGAGCCGTAAGAAAGGTTGCAGCAAGGTGGTCAATATCACCGGCCTAAAGCCAATCTGATGCATCAGGTTTCCATACAACAATTAACAAATAGATAGAGAAAATATATTCCAATGTATACCTCTCCAGAATGTGGACGGAATTTGATTGTTGTCATTCCCTTTGATTCACGAAGCTGAGAAATATTTGTATTAGGTTAAGTTTGGTGTGTCAAAACAAAGTCAAAATATTCAAATCCTCATTATGAAGTTAGAGGCAAAAAAATTTTGGAATACATAATCGGTGTTCTATGTGATTGAAAGCATGTAAACAATGTCCAAATTCATTGCATCGGCTAATCAAATTATGCAATTACGGTAATTAGTAGAATTGCGATTTTCATATTTGTTACTTTTTGGCTAATATAATTCAATCTCCGCTGTGTATATCCGATAGGGGGGTTGGTGCGTTTAATCCGACAACCCAATCCAACCCAACTCGTTTTTAGGACGGGTTAAAGCGAGTAAACCTGCGAGTCGGTGGGTCAACCCGAAGGGTCAGGTTTTTTTAGTGTTTTATTTGTCATGTCAAGCTTTTGTGATATCCAAAAAATTTATGTCAATACTCCTATACAAAAAAAAAGAAAAAGAAATTACTCTATTTATGACAAAGATTATCGATATATGGAGCCAAAACGAGTTCTTTGAAACTGTTAGACTGAAAATTAACATACATTATGCTTGTGATTGGAAAAAATGAATGGGAGTGTGAGATGAAATTAAATAACACTTAAAACTCATAAAATATCATTTAATTTTAATATTTTATTATATTTAATTATTTAAACAGACTGACTTGCCAACTAGTTTTGGATAAAGGTGTAATTGATGTCGATGATGATTTAAACGGGTTGACCCGCCAATCTGCCATAAAATGGGACGAGTCGATATTTTCAAACCATTTTTTTAAAGGCAAGCCAACTTGCCCCGTCCCATTTTTGTTGAGTTGAGGCGAGCCAACCGGTTTTGCCACCCCTAATATCATTTAAACACATTGTCCCCAAACGAAAATCATTTTTCCGGAAAACTCCGAATTCCAGTTTCCACTGTTGTGTTGTCCTTCTGACAGCCTAACACATCTTCCTAGCCACCATCCATCATTGTCCAGCCACCATCCAACGTGCTTTCCGACAAGCAACACCACCAAACTTAGCACATACTCCAAGTTGTCAAGATCCCTTCCCACATGTTCTTACACACCAGGCGAAGCTCTTGGATCTCACCCATGTGCTGCTGGATCTCACCACACATGGTAGCATGGTGTTCTGACCACCGTTGGGCTTGCCTCTCTGTCCTCTGCCCGGACCTGTACTCATTCCCTCCATTCAGCCTCTGGGTGGACATGTCCCCCTCCAACAATGCCATTCTGATGCTTGTTGAGTCGTACTCTACTTTTCTGCCCAACCCAGGGGCCCATCTAATGGCTCCGAAGATACTCCAACAAAGTTGGATGAGATCAACTATGACACATGGACTTCAAATATCAAACTTGGCTCATTGGACGAGACTATGTTCACCACCACAGCAAACTTTGTGTCAGCTAAGAAGCACTCTTGGTGGACACCCAACTACAGAGCATCATCAAATCCACCATCCATTCTTGAAACAGATTTTTGGCGCTTACATCACTTGTGGGTCAATTTGAAAGCTGGCCAAGGTTCTTTATAGCAAGGATACTCAACATCTTTGTGGGTTTTGCCATAACCTCGTAAGTGTCTTTGTCCCAAGAAGTTTAAGGGCCTAGTGTCTGCTTATTTGGGGATTGTTCATGGGACTGGACTATCCATGATTTCTCTATGAGCAACTGCCCCCTTCAAAGACAGCAGCAAAGGAACTCGAGCAACAGAGAACCTTCTCCATGATACTATCCCGATATGGTTTTCCTTTTGAAATATTCTGCCAACCGTAATCAAATTTATCCCCACGCTGAACATGACTTCCAATATGCCTCCTCCTACAATTGATATCTCTGCACTTGCATCTTTGAGTGCTGATCATGATTGCAACCCCAACAAATCTCATCCAAAGTGTGATAAAAGTAACAAGTTAGGTGACACCATTGATAGGTGTTGGAATCTCATAGGCCTCCATCCTCAAACAAGTTATCTAGTTTGTCTTATGAGTAGTGCTAACTTGGGAAACATACCCGTAGTCTGTTTCCCACTCACATCTCTAGTCGAGATAACTCCCCATTTACTTTAATTCATTCCAATGTTTTGGGTCCTAATCTTTCAACAATTTAATCATGAAATAAAAACTTAATTTGTTGTCACTATCAGTACTCGCATAGTGATAATGCTCATTAAAACTTATTTCAAACCTATCTTCACAAGACGTCTTATGCTCATACCCTTCAACAAAATGGGGTTATTGAATGCAAAATCTGACACATCATTGAAATCATTCAACTCTTGCTCCATGAACACGGCCCTTCTCATTACCTCAATCATTGAATGCCTTTCTCTATCCTTGATAACCTAATACCTACGTCACTCGTATGTTATTTCCCCCTATGCATTCCTTATAACTTCATGTCTTCGATTCTACATACTTCGTTTACAATGCTAGTCTTAGTCTTGAAAAACTTTCGACTAAGTCCCTCAAGTGGATCTTTCTTAGTTACACTTGGTCCCATAAAGGTTTACCATGATTACACACCTATTCTACACCGACTTTTGGTCTCAATTGATATTACCTTCCTCTTCCTCTGGTTTTTGCTGAGTTCAACCTATCAGAGTTGCCTTATGTTACGGACATACCTATCCTTTTCCATCCCTTGCAGGTCTATCATTGTTAGCAACCGAGCATATTCGTCTTCCAAATGTCAATGAAGTCATCATGGACCCTATGCCATTTCCTCAACCTACTCTAACACTATCTCCTAAAGCCAAACCTTCCCATTGCTCTCCAAAAAGTATATGTCTACTTATAGCCCTTTCTCCTCCCTATGTTAATTTGAGTTATCATCGACTTTCTTCTTCACATTTTGCTCGTCTTTTTCCCTTGTTCATTTTGATTGCCTATTCCTAAGACTATAGGTGACACTTTGTCTCATCCTTGATGGAGACAACCTATGATTGATAAAATGTGTGCACTTCAAAGCAACGGTACTTGAGACGTCATTCCTCATCCTATTGAGACGTCTATTGTCAGTTGTTCATGGGTCTTTGAAGTTAAGGTTGGCTCAAAATGGTCAACTTGATTGTCTTAAGGCTTGTTTTATGGCCAAATGAAATTCACGGGTTTTTGCCTTGGATTATTTAAGATACCTCACCTGTGGTGAAAGTGGCCTCTATTCTCAAGTTATTGTTTATGATTATTATTCACCACTAGCCCATTCATTAACTTGGATATCAAAAATGCTTTTCTCCATGTTAACTCGATAAAGAGGTGTATATGGAGCAACCTCTTAGATTTGATGGGGTGAGGGGAGCCTTCTATACTTGTTAGTCATCTTCACAAATATATGTATGACCTTAAACAATTTTCTAGGGCTTGGTTTAGAAGGTTTTGCACTGTGATTCAACGGTTTCGTATTACATTGAATGAGGATAACCGCTATATTTCCATTTAGCTCAATGGTGCATATACTTAGTTGTATGCGTTGAAGACAATGCCATCACAACCAGTGATTACCATGGCATATCTCAAATAAAACATCTCAGCCTTTACTTTTGGATAAAAAAAACTTGAAAAACTTCAATACTTCTTGAGAATAAAGGTAGCATAATATAAGGATGGTATATTCAATGCAAAGCCTGTTAACACTCCTATGGACCCAAATTCTAAGCTTATGCAAATCAAGTGGATTGATTTCTATAAGGTTACCATGTACAAACAAGATAAATTGTGTGTAGAAATCTCAATCCCTCAACTTTGGTGAGCACATCATTTGCACACTTAGCTACTGCATTGTTGGTATTCCTAGGCCATATATTTTCATATTCAATCAGCTAATCATATATTAACTCAAAGATTCTTGGAAATTGCTATTTGTGAAAGAAAAGAGACCATATGCGAAAAAGTTTTGAAAATTCAATTTACCTCTTCCTCCCTATCCCCCCACCCCCTAGAAAGATACAAAAGATAAGTTGGAAAGCTAAACCACCAGTTCAGATATCTCTTTTGCGGTCAAAGTGGTAAGTCAATTTCTAAATTCATCAAGTGAAGGATATTGGGATGCAACAATTGATATCTTAAACTACATTAAAGGGGATAGGTTACATGTGTAACAAGATTGGTGAATATGACCTATATGCTCTAGAATGAAGGGGAATGTCAAAAAGAATGTAAATAGTGTCTAGATTCATTGTATAGGCTAATCAAATCATGTAATTTCAATGGCGATGAACTTTGTATTTATTATTCTTTGGCTATATATAATTCAATCTCTGTTCTAGTTGAGACACATAAATTTCATCAAATGTCTCTCGCTTTCTTTTCCCATTGGTCACTAGAAAAAAGATTATGCATATAAGACTATATGAAGTGATCATAACAAATGCTAGCGTTAACATAATATGATTAGAGAAATATACAACTTGTACTCCAAAAAGAGAGAGAGAGAGAGAAATATACACCTTAAGCTAGAGTCAATAGCTAAGCAACCCAAAATTGGTACAGAAATGTAAAGTTATTCAGGAGGAAAATTATGTACCTTGTTTAAGGTGTAAAGATTTGCATAGCAGTAGTACACATAGTATGAATATGCCGGATTGAATACGTTAGTCCATTGGGCAGGTGTAGGCATGTGTTTTGTTGGCCGCCTTTCAGGTTTGCTTTCATCATCCACCAAATCCAACCCAACAACCTAAAAATGTGAAAAACAAATAAATAAAAAGCTGGAGAATTAATACTATATAGTAATTAGTAAGAGAACAAAGCAGCTGCAAAGTCAACTTGTGCAATGCATAGTTGTAGTCATTTACACTCCTTTACATATTTAATTAGTGAGTAGGTAATAGAACTCAGTTCTATTACTAGAAGTCAATACAAGTAACCATAAAGGCAAAACTCCTACAATGTAAAAAGTAGAGTCTACACCCACTTCGGTCCTCCAAAATAAGTGTTCAGTTTGGTCCTCCAATGATGAATACACCAAAATAGTCCCTTTCGGAGGATCAATTTAATTTAAAAAATGACATGAAGGGCTGAAGGCCATTTTTAAATATTTATGATAGGAGGAACAAACTATTGACACTTGTATCTTTGTAGGACCAAAAATGGGTGTATAAAAAGTAATTGATTTTGAAGAATGTAGATGAACACCCTACCTGTTTCAAGAAAACATGCAGTTGAGGATGTGAATCGGGGTCAACAGTAACCTCAAAAAGTGGAATGAAGATATTGTCAAGCATGTTTTGGAATGAGGTCACAATTCCCATTTCTTTGTATATATTGTACAATCGTGGAAGCTGCAAGACAGAAATTATAAGAACTACCATCACTTGCCAACACTGTACAATCGCCTGAGCAAATAAGCCATGAAAGGAAAAGTTCCCCAAATACTATTAGATATTTAGCACTCCCAAGAGGAACATCAGAAAATGATTTATAGACTTTGGGAAATGTTTAGCCTCAAAAACCTAAATAATTGAGAACAAAAATGCACAAATTATAATATGAAGCTGAAAACAGAAATTGACAACAAATGAGAGTATTGATTTATGCATGAAAATTAGGTGAAATTGACAACAAATCTTTTGCTATCACCGTGAGGAATAAAACTGATATGTGGTTTAAGCAAATAACTAGAGAGTACCTGAATTAACCAAACAACATTCTCGCTGTACAATTCATTATTTACTATCCAACTGGCTAGTTGGTCCCACTCACTTTGCTTCCTACCATATATAGATATTCTATATTCTGCCATCTGTGAATAAATTAGTTACAGAAGGGCATAAGATAACAAACATCAAGAGGTAAAGAGCATGCAAAATCAACAATCAGGAAATGGTAAATTATTATCAACAATAACAACCAAGACTTATACAGTCAGATGGCAAAATGGAAAATCATTATGAACTCATACATAACTAACACCAAATTCTATTGCTTTTTAGTAGTAAAAACAAAAGAAAGAAAGCCTTATCTTTCTACTAGTTTCACTAGTGTTTAAAAACATGAACAATAGATTATTATAAATATGAACCTCTCAATAATTTGGAATGCTTCTGAATTAACCAGAGAATAACATAAAAAGAATTATGAACACAAACGCTGAGTCTTAAGAAATGTTCTTGATATCATTTAACCAAAAATGTCTTTGAAAAATAGGACACCAAAAAAAAATATCTACCATCAAAAGCCATAAATGGAAATTGAATCAAAATAAAAAAGTATCCATGTTTATGGCAAAGACAAGTTTGAGGAATTAACTTAGTGAAATAACAAAGTACAAACCAGTCAATGTTGATTGCTTTTATCTGGAGCTTAGAAGCACAGATAGGGGAAACAAACACACAAAAAAGAAGAAGAAGTAGTGTCTTGTTAGAATTTTATTTGTTCTGACATGATAGAAAATTATATATACAAGGGTTCAGGAAAGCACCTGATATTTACTGGCACCAAGATCAGAAAACACTTGCTTTGTCAGCTCGCCAAGAAAACGACCTATTCAATGCAAGAAAAATAGTATGAGTACAGGTCAGTAAAGATGCTTAGAAATTAAAGACAATTAACACATTATAACCATAATCTCCAAAATGAATATTGTGACATTTTGATAAAAATACAAGTTACTTAAGCCTTTTCCATTTTTGCTTCTCCCACTACTTCATTAACCCACATGTGGGTGTTACTTTTAAAAAACAACCTAAAACTGCTTTCAAGGCTGACCATGGCAGTTTGAAATTCAAAATTCAAATTCAAACCTTATTAAATGTACACAATTTTCAAGCAATCTCATCATCCTTCAAGAGCATTCCATCTATATTAATTAAAGATCCAAAATTTTCTATTTGCACTCTTTGCACATCATTTCTCAAACAAATTAGTGATACAATACTGTATATCAGGAAATCAAGGTGCATCCATCTTATGCAAAATTTAGTCATCTTATATACGTAATCAATCACAGAAGGTATAAATAGTCGTAGAAAATCCAAAAATTTCTCTTCAACAAACAAAATAATGCCCACGACTACACAAGATCATATAGACAATGCTCAAAAAAAATATTCATCAGATTGCAGAAAATCATTGGACTAGAGATCCACCAAGTGTGTGTCTTTTTCTTTCAGATTCTATTGCAATAAACATGCAACCCATAAAAATAGCAGGTGGATTTGTCTAAAAATTTGAAGCAACCCAGGATGCCATGATTACTGATAAAGGCTGAAATTCAAGAAGCCCTGTTCAACTTTGGGTCATGCGCGCAAAAGAATCCCAGTGTGCTTTGAAACCCACCAACAGAACTCCTTGAATTAAACCGAAACACACATGCTAGTACATATTAACCCACTCACATATGTCCAGAAAAACCTCCCTACAGTGAATTTACATGCATGGTTTGGTGAGTTCAGGGATTGTATTGATGAGTTTCAAAGCACATGGGGATTTCTGCACATGAACCATAGTAGGATGAGGTTTATTGAATTTTTAACCTGTGATAAAAACCTCATTTCAAACTTTGAAGTAGAATCTACCAAGCAAAGAAACTCCACAAAGCCATGGTGTAAATCTACAACTTTGACTGTGGCTAAAAATAAACACATAGTTGGATTAGGATTTCGACTTTGTTATACCAAAAAATAAAAGTTACCTTGAATGAGATTATCCTGTTTGAGGAATATCTCCCTGAGCCTACTTTGACCACAAGGATTATATTTGAGATTGAATTTGTCAAAGCGATGAAATGTACTCTTGTCTGCGTGAACGTCCAAAAGGTCAACATTGAGATCATATCTGTTTAAAAAATGGTTCAAAAACAAGATTAATTACTGAAACTTATAGCTAGCCAATTTCAATTAAAAATAATAATTGTAATAGAAATTAGTAAAGTTCATTACCCAGTTAAATCCAGACTCTCAAAAACCTCTTTCAAGGTCAGATATGTCCCATCTCGAAATATAACAACCTGAAAAAAAGAAGAAAAAAAGTTAAAATTATACATATTAAGAGTATGCAATGTATATCAGCTTCCTAAAATATAATACCTGTAATAAAAAAGCATACTATGATGCATATGATATTTACTTCTGCACTTGTAAACCAATCATTTAAAGCATCCCTGTAATATTTCCTATTCCATTCATAGGTTGTAGTAATATACTCTGAACTATACTATTGCATTCCACACACAGTAAAGGATGCCCAAATTTATATGCTTAGAAAAAAAATGCCTAAGTTGTGATCTATCTCTTAAGCCTTCCAGTTCAATGACAACATCCGGAATAAAAAAAAAAAGGCCAATGCAAAATATGTTACTGCACAGCAAAAAAGAGATCCAAAGTATCACCTCATCAGGCTCTTTCCTCAGTTTTGACTTTATGAACCTTAGAAGATGTTTCTGATTCATGCATGCTGAATGGTGTACATGTGTATCAACTTTTCTAACATTATAGAAATCTCGATGTGGAGCACTTTTCTGGGCAAGAAATTCCCTATCCGCATTTAGCATCAAATGAAGATTGAATTTCTGAAATACATATAGAATTGTCAAACAACCACTAGATTCTTATCTGTAATTGAAATAGAATCACATGCTGCAGTTTATTACTTATATTAAGCAACTTAGACATGTATTTACTTGTTCTAGAAGATTAAGCCTATGATGGCATAAAGTTCTGATATTCCCTGCTGCTATGACTCGAAGTATCTGATGGAGGTCAGTGAAAAAGGTAGTTGCATCCGCAACAGGAAAAAGTTCTTCTTTGGCTGCAAGTAATACGCAAACATGCATAAGAATCACAGCTAGAGAGGTAAAATATGAAGTCTGCAGATAGAAAATTTCGTAGTTACTTACAGTCTCTATCTGGATATACATGAATAACCCCATCTTGCATTTCAAAGTAATGCTGTAGCACAACAGAAAAAATACTTGTTTAATCATAGTAGGATTAAATTCGGAGTCCAAGTTTTCATAGGTGAAAACAAAATTAAATAAAAAAAAAACTCACATCAGACTTTCCTTCAGGGGTGTAAAAGAATGGCTCCGGGTTAGGCTTTGGAGTACTGGGGTCAGATATAACTTCTTTCTCCCATGGAGCAACTGCTTCTTTAAAAACATATCTTTTTCTCATTTCAAGGCAGTCTTGAAGAATGATGTAGGCGTCAATTTCATCAGATGACGGAGCCTCTAAACAGAAAATATAATAATTATCGTTTGCTAAATGATTTTCTAAAATTGCAATCGTTGTCAGAAAGTGTTTAAAGGAAAGTAAATTCTCTGCATGCCATGAAAAGAACATATTTGAAGCAAATTATTTATACTCAAGAAAGAGAAATATTTCATAGTTCATACCAATAGGAGTAATTTTCAATCGTGCAAAAGTTTCTTGCTCTGGCTCTTTCCTAAGAATGTCAGCAGCTATTGGGTCAGGCTGCACACCATGCAGGTCACCAGAAACACTATGAGAACGGATCATACTTGAAGCAGTGATTGCCATCTGCTCTCCATTAGTATTAACATGATTAGGTAAAGTCTCATATGGAATTTTACCTTCTGGGCCCTGCATTCAGGTGATTTCAAATTCAATCTCAGAGATCATTCAATTTTTTTACTTTAGTGAATATAGAGCACTGCATCATTGACAATCAAAGCATATCTGAGGAGCTATGAAGCACCGACTCCGACGCGGCGTTTTCGATACATTCCAAATACGTTCTCGATACGACCATTAATTCGTCGATACGATACAATACGTTTTCGATACGCGTATTGGATACGTTGGAAAAAAAATTCGGAGTATCGATGCTTCATAGCTGAGGAGTAATGGGAAAAAGCTAGATTAATTCCAATTCCAGAACAAAGGTGCAAGGGCAAGGAGGCATTAAAAAAGGAGACAGTTACTTATCATCTCAACAGTATACTTATTTATATATAGAGAGAGGTACTTATCATCTCAAAATGTGCATATTAGATTATAGACTTACAACATTTCCATTTGTGTGCAGATATGTAGTATCCAGTTTAGCTTGCTCTGTCACATCATCTTCATCGTCTGATCCTTCCACACTTTCAAAGGCACTAGCACTTGCAACAGGAGACTTGGGAGAGGTAGGTCTTAAAAGACTTCTCTTAAAGGAACCAGGGTGTGCAGATTTTCCTGTAAGATACATATCTTAGTCAGAGAAAAAGCATTGATATTAACACTTTCAACCTGACAATCATGTATTTATGCAGGTAGTGTGTCAGAAATATGATATGTACTATAAAGTAAATACAGCAGTAACCCACTATGTATGCTATTGACTCCATACCCTTGCCCCCTTCCTCCAACACCATAAGTGATGCTTCTACAAGGTTTACCCAAGTACCTTTCCAAGGTTAAAAAATAAAAACAGGAAAGAAATAGTACATCGTAATTATCAGGACATTGCAAAGGTATATCAGTAACAATTAAAGAAAACAAATAAATAATAATTTCCTTAAAGAAAACAATTATCTTTAAAAGCTGTGTTTGGTGGAATTCCCAGATGAGTTATCAGAGGAAAATGGTCCAAAAAGACTGATCCGCCAAGAAGAATTACTCAAAGGGAATAAGCTTTTTCAGTCTTTTAATCATTTCAATACTTCAGTTTACTTCTCTTATACTTTCTTCTCTCTTTCATTTTCAATTTCGTTTTCAGATATATACTATTTAACCATCATGGAGCTCCAACACTCCATGTGACACAAACACAAGAAAAGAAAAGAAATTGATAAAATTCATTAAATACACAAACGTATTTTAAATAATTTCTTAACTGTTAGAAGTGTTAATAAGTACAGAAGTTCGGGTCTTTAAACTTTGGATTTCTAAATTGTTATGACGACCCGTCTACAACCAGCAAATGTTCTCACTTCTTTGTCTTTTTCTTATCCTTCCAGCAAAACTTTTCCTCTATTAAATAAATACATGAATTCAAATTGGTGTTTTATAATCTTTTCCTCTATCATGTGAACTTTTCTGTCAATAAGATATATATAATTGTAGAGCCGAAACAAACAAAAACACAACCAAATTGCAAATAACAAATACACAATTGACAAAAACTCCTTAATAGAAAGTCTCTATACTATACACAATCTAAGCTACATAAATCGATCAAAAGAGGCCCATACCTACAGAATTCAACACTACGTAATTGCCAGATTATAGCTCAACGAAGTACTCTCTCAAAAAGTAATCCCAAAAAGAAGGCCAAAAATCACACACCTAATAATTGATTAATTAAACCTGAGATCATAACTCAGGTGAAAGGTTTCAGCATAGTCCTACCTTCACGGAGCGTGTGTAGCCGCGGCAACCCTGGCGGAATCCCTTCGACGTGCTTCTCCTCCTTATCAAACCCGCCGGAGATCACCGTAACATCTGGCAGCGACGCCGAGGCACGGCGGTTATAGCTGTTCCCCCTCCTCCTCGCGCCGCCACGGCGCTTCTTCGAATGCTGCGGAGAATCACCGCCGTCGGAAGCTCCGTCCTTCTCCCTCTCCAGCTCCACCGTCCGGGCAAACTCCAGCAGCTGCGAGAGCGTCTTCCGGTGCATGTAGTACGCCGACACGGCCACAACAGAAGCTCCGACGAGCGCCGCCATGGCCAAATGCACCGCGTACGCATCCATGATCGCTCTCTCTCTCTATCCGAGTTTCTCTCTCTATAACTGAAATTGTTTTACGTTGTGTTGCTTCACGGAAATGGAATGGTTTGGGCGAAGAGAAAAAGGTGAAAAGCAATAAACCAAAACCCTACTAAACAGTGAGGGAGTGAGTTAAATGTTATCACGCTAACGATAGAGTTATTAAAACCGAGTGACCTCTGTGTTAAATGGAGACAAGTGTTGCCTGCTTTCCCCTATTTATACACGAACAACGCACGAGGACGTGTACCGTCTCTCTCTTGCTTTCTCTCTCTTTCTTTAAGAGAGATAGAATAATTTTAGGCAAATAATTATCTTATTTTATATAAGATAATTGGGTTTGGTGTTTGTCATTTTAAATGACATAGGTTATGTCATTTTAGGAGAGAGATAGACACAGAAAAATGGAAATCATGGAGGAGAGAAAGTGAGTGGTTTTTTTAATTTAAAATTCAAATTTTCTGTTCTATATCTCTCTTAAAATAACATAACTTTCTGTCATTTAAAATAACAAACATTTTTTCCAACATAATTATGTTATGTAATATAGATAAAGTAGTGGGGTCTATTATTTTTAAAAAAATAAAAGATAATAAACCCTATTATGTTATCTTTATTATAGAAGATAATTATCTTATGCCACAAAGTAGTGGGGTTGGATATGTGTTTGATTCCCGCTGAATGTATTCTTGGGGAGGGGGCTGAACCTTTAGCCATCACTGTTCCCCGCACTCCGGATTAGTCCCATAGCCGGCTCAAAGAGTCGAAGCTCGTGGGGATACCGGAGGGAGCCAACTCGTCTCAAAGAGATAATTAGGGTTAGGTAACTCCAAAAAAAAAAAAAAAAATAGATCTCAAAATTTTATGATATTAATATTTTTTTATTTTCTACATATATAAAATTATGTAAGTTTTCCGTAGGATAATGTAAGAAGAAGAAAGATAAAAGAAGTTTCCTATATTTTTATTTGTGTATTGAAGAGAAAATTATCTCTTATAATATAAAAATACTAATTCTTAATTTTATATCGTGTAAATTAATTTTTAATTTTATTTATTAATATCACATATAGTTTTTTTAAAAAAACTATTTGATTCATTAGATATTAATGGAGAAGTTAGTAATTTTATTATGCACCTGTGTATTTTTTCCTTTCTTATGAAATTTCGCTCTCAGCTTTTTGGTAAAGCGGAGGAATGGGACGAGAGGACAAATGGAAAAGGATAAACTAATAAGTCTAAGCCCTTTTTTTGTAGGAGTATCTTTTGTCCAACTTTTAGAGGGTATTTTAGCTATTTTCTTTTTTAACTTATATGTTTCTATTATTAATTATTGAAGTATTATTTTAACATTTATTATCAAGACTTTCTGAATGAAGCTTTTGATAATTAACGCATTCAATTTCATATTGGTGGCAAAAGTTTTAATATTGTCAATTTCATGATTAGTTTTATTCTAGAAAACCATCATTTTTTATTAAAAATAAGGGTTTTACTTTTTTCCAGCAATTGAAGAGAAAGCGATTTTTCTGTTAAGACAAAAAAGCAAAACCCACCGAATTTAAAATAAATAAAAAATAAAAAATGGTACAAAAATCGAAGTGAGGAGATCATAAAATAACAAACTTCTTGTGACATAAGAAAAAAATATTCGTAAAAATAATTGTCGAATTCAATTTAGAGATGAAATAAATTACGAATATAATTATTAAAATATTTAGGTCCTGTCGATGAAATTAAAAGATTTAGGTATAAAGATTTTGCTTGTGGTGTCCGCTGCATACTATCTTTTCATTGTAATTTTATAGTTATGTTAATGTGTATTATATCTTAAGAATTTAAAATTAAAATTGTCAAAATAAAAAATAGAGAAATATTTAAAAAAAATTAAAAGCATTTAATATCTTTAGAAATTAATATCATTTAATAATTGGTAATAAATGTTTCTTATCTTGCTTTTTTTTATAAATACTGAAAATTTCATTCTCCCCAATAATTGAGACTCTTATAATTCCAACACATTATCCTTCTTATTTTGGTTTTCGAATATAAGAGATAAAAAAATTCATGTTAAGAGATAAATAAAATATGGCTCACCATTTAAAAAAGAAAAGGCACTTTTTTTATGCAAATGCAATATAAGAAAGGATTTTATAAAAGTTATGTTATAGGAAAAGTGATTGTGTCATGTTATAGAGATTCATTTTTTGTGTCTTAGTTTTTTTGCTTCAAAAAAAACGAGTCCCACAAAATGTTGTGTGTACAAAAAAATGATTGTATTATATTGTATGATGAATATAAACCCCTATAAGAAGTTAATCTCATATAACATGAATATGATTTTTCTTTCGAAAATATTTCTTAATAAAACAATTAACACAATTATTAATTTTAATAATTACTGTTGATTTTGTTGACCGTAAACAAGTCAAAAGAATGTTTGGATCAACAGTGGAAAAGGCCACGAACCCTAGAAAAGCCTAAGAAGTGGGTGCTATTACATAGCTTGGATGGGAACAAATCTTTAGTGCTCTTGGAGTACTTAAGTAGGTACTTTCTTTTTTTAAATATGAAAAAGTTTGTAATATGGTAGGAAAAAAAAATTTGAAAAAAAAAAAAAAATTCCACATTTAAAAAAAGGGAACACTAAAGATTTGTCCTTTTGAATGGAAAACATTTTTCTGTGCTATGGATGTACGATCCATCCCTCCAAAAAAAAAATGAGAGCTTAAATAAAGGAAAATAGCAAAAATATTTGTATTAAAATGAAATAAAAGTTTTTTTATATAAAAAAAAGATACATGGATGAGTGGTGGATCGTGGAAAACGGGAATGGATTGTGTGTCACTTTCATTATCCATGAAGTGCAAAACATGCCAAAATGACTCGACAGTGCACGCACCACACGTTCAAGGATGGATTTCTTCTCATTAATATAATTAAATGAACTTGTCTAATCAGCATGGACATTGATTGACAACAAAGACATAATAAGATGACCTGCGAATGCATAATGTATCCGTGTACATTTTTAAAAAGTGTCACATTTACATTTAACGTTTAATATTCATGCACATAAAATACGTGATCATATAATATATTTGAAGAGATATGTTATTTTATCTATTTTATTTATTTATTTTTTAATATTGTTAGATTAAAATCTTAATAGAAGAGAGAAAGATAAATATTAGTTGAGATTTTAATTCAATAATATTTTAAAATAATAGATAAAAATAAACGAAAAAAAAGTTGACAGAATAACCTATGAATATCCATATTTCCAAATCTCATTGCAATTCATTTGCCAAAATTGGATCAAGGACGAATTATAGCGAGATGGAATTATATTGACCCGAACTTAATTTATTTAATATGAATATGAGTTAACTCGATATTTAAAGAAAATATATAGATTTAAATATTATGTATAATTAAATTAAAAATTAAAAAAAAAAGAATGATTTATAATATATGTTCAAAAACAAATTATATCAATACAAACATTTTGCATTGTTATATTAATTTAAGTCAATAAATTTTATAATACATCATTAATACTTAAAAAGAAGTTTTAAAATATTATTCGGCATTAAGTTAGGTTAAACCTATTGTGTAGAATTCATGTACAGTACTATGTAGAACTCATGTATAGACACATGGCCATCAAGGGTGATGGGTTAATGTGAATTTGATACGAATATGAATACACTTAACACAAATATTATACAAATTTAAAAATAGATCAAAACCTTTGATATGAACATGGTCTGTTTACTTTGCGGATTGACACGACACGGCATAACATGAATAACATGTTAATCTCAAAGTATGTCACTTATTATGCGAGTTGACATGACATAACATAAATAACTTGTAAAAAAATTAATAAAATATTTTTGGATTTGCGAGTTGACGCATGACACGATACAAATTTTTTCGTGTCAAATTTTCTGACATGAATTTTTCATATTGTGTTAATGCGGATTGTGTCGAAGGTTACCACCCCTAATAGTCTTGTATAGATAAATAAAGTAGTTAGTCAAATGCATTAGTTATTAGATTAAGTTTTCTGTTTTTCTTTCTCACGTGTGCATGTAACTCAATTGGTTGTTACTCACATTTCTTCCACTATCATGGGGTTATTAGTTGTTCTTAAATCAATGACCCATCTACTTAACAGACCTTAAGTTACCCATACATGATTTTTTTTCATTACCTCTAGCCAATTATTATTTTAGTCTTCTTTAGTCTACAATCGAAGCACTTACTTTTCAATTTCGTCATTGCAACTGATTTGATAAGTGATATGTATACCCTTTTGTTCTTGTTACCACTCTTGTATTTCCCTTTGAATTTAATATAACTCTCAACAAATTCTGTACTAAATGCATTTTGTCCAACTGAACTACTATAGACACAACAAACATGTTATTAAGAAACAAACATATTATTAAGAGTCCGAGTCATCTTTACTTCAATCTCAATCCTGTTTACTTACTTGTGCAAGTGATTGGTAAAACTAACAAGAATAAAACAATGTAATATCTCAAACCGATTCGGAACAGGGTGTTACAATCATCTCGCCACTAGAACCACTGACAAATAGCTTTCCACGCGCTACCTTGTGTTCATTGATTGTCAAAATTAAATATGGTAGATCATACAATAATACAATATCGATGAGTTCATTGTGTCATCTATATTAAATATCGTCAATAAAAGTTATATATAGCTTGTGTTTACCTACAAACATGTTATTATGGTCTTCTTGTTTTCATTGAACCCTAGCAGCAACGATGAGTTCCATCGCTTTCATGATTTTTTAGGTACCATATGTTGATTCATTCTTGGAGTTTGCAGAATCGAAGAGGGATTCTTCAATAGAGAGCGAAGAAATCAGGTTTGGTGAAATTGGGAAGAGGGAGAAAGGGTGAAGGTGGTTGGAGAGATAGTGACGGTTTGTTTGACCTAAAATGAATATGTAAATCTTTTCTATTAAATAAAATTTTGACAAATATGTAAAGTAGGTATGAAGAAAAACATACATAATATCCTATCTCTAATAATAATAAAAAAATTGGCCCCTCATCAAAATTCAAAAGTCCGCCAAGTACGAAACAGATTATTAAAAGTGTCTTTTAGAACAATACAATGTTACTCATTATA